GATCGCTCCCTCCTTTCGAAGCACTTAATCCCTTCTGTGGATCCGACGGGTCGGTCGTGTGAGCCTCTCTGTTCCGTGAGCGCTGCGTTTCTGTGGTGTCCCCCCCTCCCTCTCCCCCCCCCCAGTTGGGCTGTAGATCTAGGCCAGTGGTGTCTTGAGCCTGGTGGTGTTTGGTAGGTCCCTCCCCGGCCTCCGCTGTTTTCTCAGAACTTTCCTTCGTTTTGTTTGGGGGGGGGTTGTTTTTTTTATATAATTTTCAGTTCTTCGTGTTTCATTGAGATGCTATTATATTTTGTTAAAAAAGTGGGGGGGGGAAGAGGCTTGTGCCTTTGTAAAGAAGCAAAATAAAGTTTGTACTTTGTTTTTTAAGTCCTCTGGCTCTGGAGTCTTTGTGCTTGGGGAGAGCCAGTTTGGTGTGGTGGTTAAGTGTGTGGACTCTAATCTGGGAAAGCCGGGTTTGATTCCCCACTCCTCCACTCGCAGCTGCTGGGTGACCTTGGTCTGAGCTGTTCTCGAAAAAGAGCAGTTTCTCTCAGAGCTCTCTCAGCCCCACCTACCTTTCTTTCCCATCCCCTCCTGCCTGGTCCTTTTTAACTGGAGATGTTGCCGTGGATTGAACCTGGGACCTTCTGCGTGCCAAGCAGAGGCTCTGCCACTCACAGGGTGCCTGTTGTGGGGAGGGGAAGGGACAGGAGATTGTAAGCAGCTCTGAGACTCCCGAGTGAGAAGGGCCATGGGGGGTATAGATCCAGTCTCCTCCTCTTCTCTGTGTAGCGACTTTGGACTTCCTTGGCGGCCTCCGATCCAAGTACTGACCAGGGCTGGCCCTTCTTGGCTTCCGAGATCTGGGGCTGTCCAATGGGAAGGCAGAGGGGCTACTGTGCCCTTGCCAGAGGTGGCTGTCCCATGAGGAAGGACCCTGGACCCTGGGCAGAGGAAGCTGGATGGGGTGTGCCGTTCCAAGGGTGCACTGCTTCATTCGTGTCCCCAAACACAAACTCTCTCTTCTGCAGCCAAGTCGGTCCTCCCTGTCAGGTAGAGGAGAGCCTGGGTCTCCTGTCCCTCCCTGCGGCTCCCTGAAGGATAGGCCAATGTGGTCCCATTAGGGGGGGGGGGGGGGGGGGGGGACAAGACTACACCGTCTTAGTCCACCAGGGGGTGCTGTTCTCTCATTATGCACTGAGTGTTTGGGCCAAAGGGCCGTTTTTCTCCCCTATGGTATGCTGCCAAAGAAACCCAGAGAGGAGAGGAGCTCGCTGAAGATGCCCGACGCTGAATCAGAACCCGGGTTCTTCCGCTCGGACTGGCAGCGGCTCTCCAGGGTCTCACGCATCACCCCCTGCCTGGTCCTTTTAAACTGGAGATGCCTCTGGGGACTGAACCTGGGACCTCCTGCAGGCCAAGCAGAGTCTCTGCCACTGAGCCACGGCCCCTCTTTGCAGCCCTCCAGGGTCTCAGGTGTAGAGGTCCTTCCCATCCCCTCCTGCCTGGGCCTTTTTTAACTGGAGATGCCTCTGGGGACTGAACCTGGGACCTCCTGCATGCCAAGCAGAGGCTCTGCCACTGAGCCACAGCCCCTCTTGACAGCTCTCCAGGGTCTCAGGTGTAGAGGTCCTTCCCATCCCCTCCTGCCTGGTCCTTTTAAACTGGAGATGCTGCTGGGGATTGAACCTGGGCCCTTCTGCATGCCAAGCAGAGGTTCTGCCACTGAGCCACAGCCCCTCTTGACAGCTCTCCAGGGTCTCAGGTGTAGAGGTCCTTCCCATCCCCTCCTGCCTGGTCCTTTTAAACTGGAGATGCTGCTGGGGATTGAACCTGGGCCCTTCTGCATGCCAAGCAGAGGTTCTGCCACTGAGCCACAGCCCCCTCCCAGGGCAAATGGGAGCAAGGAGAGGAACCGGGCCTTCACCCATTGTAAAGTGCGGGGGCTGAAGCAGGGGCTCCAGTTCTTGCCAGCGCCTCTTTTCTCTCTTGTGCTGCTGTTGTTGAGATGAAAAGTGCGACAAAACCCAAAGTGCCAAAGGGACTTAACAAACAAGTGTTTGGCAAGGTGCCCGTAACTTGAGGCTGCCTGCCCCTCTCTGTCTGGGGGCCACTCAGTGGTGGGGGTAGTAGATTCCCAGCGCCAGAGACGGTTTGCCACTGCCTGGTTCTGCATAGCAGCCTCGGGCTTCTTTGGTGGTCTCTCACCCGAGACTAGCCGTGGCTCAGCACTGCTTCGCTTCCAAGATCGGCCTGGTGTGGGCCGTCCAGGCCAGGCACCAGCCCTGAATTTGCTCTGTGGCTTGCAGTCCCCCCCCCCCAAGAAACCCCCTCCTAACCGTGAACTCTC